GGCTGGTATGTTAACCGGAAGATGACCTAAGCAGATCGAAACGTTGTTCTTATACTTTATTTTAATTAAAGTTTTTAATTCCCATACCAGCCGTCTCTGCTATACATTTTCAGTAAATTATATTCTTTTTCACATGAATCCTGAGCTTTTTGAACTCACGCATGGTTAGAACTAGGTGATTTAGTACGGGAAATTCCTGCAGTTTTTCAACAAACAGCCGTGATTTGTTGAACAAATATTGTCAAAGAGATTAGCGTGTGAGGAGAAAGTTAATACCTATTAGAAAATCTACCGGCAACACTGATTGACAGTTAGCCACAAAAATAAACATCATTTGGAAAGCCTAGAAGGAAAATTTGTGGCGAAACAAAAAATAGACTACAAAATCCATAAAAGTACACGACAATGAACTGATGTAGCCAGGACTTTGAAAATAAGCCCAATCTTCCACCATGCTTCATTTCTGATCACGTTAACATTAAATAACCTTAATTCAGTCACTTGTAATCATGTATTTAGGTTTTGCTCAGCTGAATAAATAATATTTAATTGGCCGTGCACCTTTTGTTATATTTTTAATTTCCATCATAATGGAAGAGAACTGAAAACAAGTCCAAAATTCAACAAGAAGCGACAAGCGGCAAAATATAATAACAAACGACCACGAGAAAGGACCAGCCCAATTGCGCGGTTTTTAATCAGAACTCACACAGATGCATGCAGTTTTATTGTCATCAACAATCCTTCCATTCTTTTTTCCCCGATCCTTGTTGTATTTTCTCTATACTTCTCTAATTTCTCTAGTGGCATAATGCTCTTTCATGGCTTGCTCTCAAAATGGCGATTTGCACAGCTTAATTGGAATATAGAATATGTCAATTTGGCGGGCTAGAAAGTTCACGATTGTGGGTGTTTTGTATTTTGAAGAGAAGTAGGGTTAGGATTATTCTAAAATTTTAATAATGTGAAGGCTAATTATTGACCCATTCAATCACCGAAAACATCTTACAACAATTTTAATGTGTGTTGAAGTCAGCTATTACAAAAAAAAGTAACCCCAAAATAAAACAAGCCCCCCAAAAATCGCAACCCACGACTCGGCGATCACCAAATGCTGATCTCAAAACAACTATTTTAGGATGTGACAATTTCTTTTTGTTGTCGCAAAAGTGTTTTGGAACTGGAAGATCAATATTTCTATTGATTATATATAATATATGTTCATGAAACATATCGCCAATTTTGCGACCAGTCTCACCAATGTACAGTAGGTTGCAAAGATTGCAAATAATACAGTAAATGACGGATTTTGATACGCAAGTAAAATGCTTGTTAATGTGAAAATTACTCTTTGAACCAACAGTTAAAATTCCGTTGTCCATGTACTTGCATGTTACAGAGCCTGGTCTGTTATAAGGGAAGGAGCCGGGGAAGTATCAGAGTGAATGTAGTTATTAAAGTTAACTGGAACAAGTGTATCTCGAGGACGAGGGTTATGGATATAAGCATTTACAAGTTTTGAAATGAACTTTTGTATAAGGTTAGTATTAGTCTGTTGGATATTAAAATTGTCTATTATTATTTTAGAAAATTTGGGGAGGGATTTGGGAATCACTAAAGTAAGTTTATGTTGGTTATTGTTCGGATAATTGTTCAATGTATGTACAGGGTAACCACGCGAAATAAATGAATTTGTTAAATCTTCTGATTTAGAAATAAAGTCACCAGGATTACTGCAAATACATCGTAAACGTAAAACTGAGGACAGGAACACAAAGAGAAAGAGGTGACGACAAGAATCAAAACGAATGTGAATCTGTAGGTTTATAAGAAACAAAAGCTGTCCATATCAAGAAGGAGAGGTTATTTTTGGAAACATGAAACCTAAAACTTAGGAAAAGATGGCATTGTGAAAATAAAATCTGTAACTCGCATTACTCAAGAAATATTAAAAAAGTAGACCTGCATTACTCACAAAATATCAAAAAGTATTCCTGCATTACTCTCAAAATATATATGAAAATAATGAGGACTAACTATAGTCTCTTAATACTCGCAATTTTTTTAAAGACTTATAGAGTATCCTTCAGTTATGTAAGTGTGTGTGTATTTGTTACTTACCTTGAAACATCCAGTTTTAAATTATGTTTCTCAGAAGTATCTTTGGATTAACCTGAATATTAATCAATGAAAATATTGAGAGATTAAATCATATTTACACCAAGATACATAAACAGAGTAGTCCAAAAGTTAGTTATCGTCTTTCACCCTTAAATCTTTTTTTGTGTGGCTAATACTTGCATGATCAAAACTGATTGATCCCTTCTCAGATTGTGTATCATGCTAATGCATTGTTCATACATGTTCGTATAGTTAAAACACGAAAAATAAGAATAATTTGCACACTAATCTGGGGGAACAAACTTTTGGGTCACTCTGTACAAAGTATAACAAAGTGTTATATTATTATTTCTAAACGAAGACCCACAAGATGTTTAACCATAGTAAATCAAATGTTAACAAAAATACCTTATACAATCTCAAAATCTATAAACCAATAACAAAACTGCTTGAACTTGGATCGATTACATACCAGTTCAACCAGATTTGCTAACCTAAGGGTACATAATTAGCTGAATATACTTAGATTTGGTGAACTCCATAACTGTTTGTACTTTATTGTTGCTCGTTTTCCTAAACTTGAATTTTAACACAATTTTGTGTTTTTCCAAGGTCATCCTCAAAGTATTGTAAACGTTCAGCCTTTGTTCACCATCCTCATCGCCGTTGTTGTTACTCTCGTCCTCATTGTTGTCGTCGTGGTAATAGTCTTGAAAGTAAAGCGCAAAAGAACGCTATCCAGAGGTAAAGTTGTTGGTATATAAGTTGAGGCGATCTGACTTCAAGATTCTAAGGAAATGTTGGCTTAATAACTGAAATACCGAGTATAACTTTAAACACTGTTTAGACACATCAGGTCTATAAGTATAGAGACATACGTGTGTGTGTGTGAAATTTATTTCTAGATTTTCTGAAACTCGTGTCCATTTAGGGTTTAAATTTTAAATGGTGTCAGAAAATGTAAAGAGTCTATGTAGACCGACATATTTTAATACAAACATTGTTCTGATGTACAACTTCTACAGCTTTCCTACTTTTTCTAGTAATAGAACAATTTACTCTAATTATAAATACACCTGAAACTTATTTGCTACATTTTAGATAATGTAGCTGAGCTATTGCTACATTGTCTTTATAATTTTGTGCATATTTTTCTGTCCTTTAATGAAAGTCGCCAATTTAGCGTCATGTAAAAGTAAGACGTTCGATATAAAACTTCTTGATTTTGCCGTGTTAAAAGATATTAATATAATTAACCTTATTTATTTATTTCAATATTTTGTATTAAGAAATTTATTTTTTAAATTCACACCACCATAGAAAGTCAGATGATGTAATCCAGAAATTACGAACACAGACTAAGTTTACTTATATACTTGTTAAATTTAGCTAATATTATTTCCCTACTTCCTTTTTTTCCTTTAGCAGCTCAGACTGACCAGACAGATGAAGATAAGTACGTATTTCTGGTCATGTATTACATATATAACTTGTTCTAAGGAATTAATAGACTAAAAACTGTGACACAATTCTAATTTAAATAATTAAAAGCACGAGGATAACACCAAGTATCTTTAAATGTTGTTGTAACTGCTGCCATACATATTCATAAATCTTGACGCTGTGAAAATAATTTATCAACTAAATGTTCAGCAGTTTAAGTAAATTCGTTATTCTATAATTTATCAACTAAATTTGATGACGAGGAACCCACTTTGAGACTAATAATGGCTGGAG